ATAACTCAGAAATAACCCGTCTCAGTATCGTCGACAGAATAACTCAGAAATAACCCGTCTCAGTATCGTCGACTGGTTAACTCAGAAATAACCCATCTCAGTATCGTCGACTGGATAACTCAGAAATAACCCATCTCAGTCTCGTCGACTGGATAACTCAGAAATAACCCATCTCAGTCTCGTCGACTGGATAACTCAGAAATAACCCATCTAAGTATCGTCGACTGGATAACTCAGAAATAACCCATCTCAGTCTCGTCGACTGGATAACTCAGAAATAACCCATCTCGACTGGATAACTCAGAAATAACCCATCTCAGAAATAACCCATCTCAGTATCGTCGACTGGTCAGAAATAACCCCCATCTGGATAACAGAAATAACCCATCTCAGTCTCGTCGACTGGATAACTCAGAAATAACCCATCTCAGTATCGTCGACTGGATAACTCAGAAATAACCCATCTCAGTATCGTCGACTGGATAACTCAGAAATAACCCATCTCAGTCTCGTCGACTGGATAACTCAGAAATAACCCATCTAAGTATCGTCGACTGGATAACTCAGAAATAACCCATCTCAGTCTCGTCGACTGGATAACTCAGAAATAACCCATCTAAGTATCGTCGACTGGATAACTCAGAAATAAGCCATCTCAGTATCGTCGACTGGATAACTCAGAAATAACCCATCTCAGTATCGTCGACTGGATAACTCAGAAATAACCCATCTAAGTATCCTCGACTGGATAACTCAGAAATAACCCATCTCAGTCTCGTCGACTGGATAACACAGAAATAACCCATCTCAGTCTCGTCGACTGGATAACACACTCGTCGACTGGATAAAAATAACCCAGAAATAACCCATCTCAGTCTCGTCTCAGAAATAACCCATCTCAGTATCGTGGACTGGATAACTCAGAAATAACCCATCTCAGTCTCGTCGACTGGATAACACAGAAATAACCCATCTCAGTATCGTCGACTGGATAACTCAGAAATAACCCATCTCAGTATCGTCGACTGGATAACTCAGAAATAACCCATCTCAGTATCGCCGATTGGATAACTTAGAAATAACCCAATAGCACAACTCAACGCCATGTACTGGATAACATATGACATATGGCACCTCAGTGGTGTATTTGATTTAGATTATGTAAATATCAGGCTTTAAAACATGACTGGTTTGATTGGTGAGATCTTGACTTTTCTATAATATGTGAATATTCGATCTTAACATCAAACTTCCGCTACAAATTCTCTTCTGAGCAAATGAAGCAAAAGACAGTTGGTCAGACATAATTGTTAATCCTATCTGGATAATCACGTTTGTGTAATTGATTTCACATTTTCTGGTTTGGTATTCTTCAATACCCGTTTTTTCTGTAGATTTATCTGAGGATCTACATAACTCGATAAATCAACCTGTGTCTTTATTTGTCCAATTCTTGTCATCAGTTTCGTGCATGTTGTTGTCCATCATTTCCTGTGTATTTAGCGTTATTCCCTGTATATTAGTACCATTCTCTGTATATATAGCATCATTTCCTGTATATTTAGCGTTATTCCCTGTATATATAGCATCATTTCCTGTATATTTAGCGTTATTCCCTGTATATATAGCATCATTTCCTGTATATTTAGCATCATTTCCTGTATATTAGCATCATTTCTTGTATATTTAGCGTTATTCCCTGTATATATAGCATCATTTCCTGTATATTTAGCGTTATTCCCTGTATATATAGCATCATTTCCTGTATATAATGCATCATTTCCTGTATATTTAGCACCATTTCCTGTATATATAGCATCATTTCCTGTATATATAGCATCATTTCCTGTATATTTAGCGTTATTCCCTGTATATATAGCATCATTTCCTGTATATTTAGCGTTATTCCCTGTATATATAGCATCATTTCCTGTATATATAGCATCATTTCCTGTATATTTAGCGTTATTCCCTGTATATTTAGCGTTATTTCCTGTATATATAGCATCATTTCCTGTATATATAGCATCATTTCCTGTATATATAGCATCATTTCCTGTATATTTAGCATCATTTCCTGTATATTTAGCGTTATTCCCTGTATATATAGCATCATTTCCTGCATATTTAGCACAATTCCATGATATTACATGTTATTATCAGGAGCTTGTCACCATAGTTTCACGTGCTCTTTATATTACCGATGATATTCCAGATAAAGCACTAAATGTAATGCATTAGCATAACTTTCAATCTATAAGATTGATGAAGAGAGTCTGAGATTTTTTCATGCGTGATCAATGAAAATAAAAACAAGAAACGACGAGTTCCATAAACCTTATAATAAAAAATACTGTTTATCAGATAAATTTGAGAATTCGTGAAAACGTCATTTCAGTACATTTTTGCCACTGAAATATAGGTACGTATCAATTCGAATTAAAAAAAAAGACTTCATAAAGGAGATTTCGTAGTTTTGATCACCGTTTTCTAGCCACAGCATTGAAGTTATTTACCTTCAAACAATCCTTGTGTACGTGCAGTTTTGTGATCGATTTTTACCACATAACTGTATTAAAATGGTAAGAAAACAGCCAATTTAAAATGCCGTCGTCTTATTGTCAAGTGTAACGTCCAACCTTCTGCATTTTTACTTGTTTTCCTTTGAAAACATAATAAAAACAAAATTTAATGACTTTCAATTAAATATGAGATATGTTTTATATTCTGCATTTATGACACATTTTACTTTTACTTTATTTTTCCCTCGTGCTTCCCTCGAGAAAAAAAATATTCGTGAAATATACGCATTTATGATATGAATTGGGAAACCAATAATTATCTCCTATTTGCTAGACTGTTATATAAAAGCTGGCGTCGGTATTCACTCCCTATAGCTTTCGCTGGTGACGTCACAATGTTTATGACGCCATAAGATTATGACGTCACTGAAACAAGAGGAATCTTTAGTCAGTAACATATTACACATTGGGTCATAACAAAAAAGTAATATATATTGGATGTTATGTACTGATGACAGGGTAGTTATGCGATAAAATATACAAAATCCACTTACCATATCTTAAACTGCTAAATCATTGATCTAGTATTCCCTTTTAAAAAAGTTAGGTCTTGATTATAAATCCAACATGACGTCTGTCCAATAGTTCCCTGCAAAACTTCCAGATTAGTCGCATGAAGAATCCATAACCATAAACGACATCGCTCTGATTTATAATCCGAGCTATGGTTTTTTTTTTTTAGTGTCACACCGAGATAAAATCTCCCTATGGCTCTCCACAGAAGCAATACACAGCCAACAAGCCGTTATGTCCAGCGCTGACCAGTGTTTGGCGTGGACAAAATTGAGTGTATTTGTCCAGCAATATTTACCATTTATACAATCTTAAACGAGAGGCCCGAGTCAACATAACGAGCTTTACCGTTCTCCACTTCACTGACATTTAATTTCTACCTATGACAATAAAGACTGTTTCTGGTACTTCGGGTACTTCATTAGTTTACAAAGAGAACAAACATCTTTCTGCATTGAAACAAGTTTAGGATTTTACTGTCGTGTAAACATTGTTGACATTAAATGCTACAGACTTCCGATTTCAGTTTAGAGTTTTGGGAACAATCGCAAACAGTCCAGTGTCAACATTGGTTACAATGCAAGTAGACTGACAAACACTTCGACACCCGAGGTCTTTAAATGTGATCATATCAAACGACGCAAATTAATCATATCAAATCTTGTACCCAAGATTGAATCAAATCTGTTTTTACAGGGAGTCACAACAAATTTCCATAATTTACTATATTTATTTTTATGTTTTGCTATGGTTTTTTGTTTTTTGTTTTTGTTTCGTTTTTTAATAAATAATATTTCAAATTGCCTTTTCTATGATATCGTTATGTGTCTGTGGCATATCGTGTTCTCATATCAACTGCGCTACCAACCGATCTTTATTTGGGGCTAATGTTTGTTTGTTCGTATCCATGCTTTAGATTCAAATTGTATTGTTCTGTAAATGGTTTCTCTCAAAGATTGTTAATGAAGTAAGCTGAAATATTCAGTCTCACTTCACATTAGATAAAAAAATCGAATTTGGTTATTGTTACAATTACTTCATGACTGAAGTGATATCCAAGTTCAAAGATAAAACATGCCCCCTTCCTGCCTCCAGCTATATAACCTGTTTATCAGCATCAGTCTATCCTTGATTCCAACTGTTACTGGTGATATTCTGTCTGTCACTGTTACTGGTAATATTCTGTCTCCCAGTGTTACTGGTGATATTCTGTTTGTCACTGTTACTGGTGATATTCTGTCTGTCACTGTTACTGGTGATATTCTGTCTGTCACTGTTACGGGTGATATTCTGTCTGTCACTGTTACTGCTGATATTCTGTCTCCCACTGTTACTGGTGATATTCTATTTGTCACTGTTACTGGTGATATTTCTGTTTCCCACTGTTACTGGTGATATTCTGTCTGTCACTGTTACTGGTGATATTCTGTCTGTCACTGTTACGGGTAATATTCTGTCTGTCACTGTTACTGGTGATATTCTGTCTCCCACTGTTACTGGTGATATTCTGTCCGTCACTGTCTGTCACTGTTACTGGTGATATTCTGTCTGTCACTGTTACTGGTGATATTCTGTCCGTCACTGTTACTGCTGATATTCTGTCTCCCACTGTTACTGCTGATATTCTGTCTCCCACTGTTACTGCTGATATTCTGTCTGTCACTGTTACTGGTGATATTCTGTCTGTCACTGTTACTGGTGATATTCTGTCTCCCACTGTTACTGGTGATATTCTGTCTGTCACTGTTACTGGTGAAATTTCATTTTACTGGAAATCTCCACTGGAAATAAAGTCAGGGTAAAGAGGAACAGATAGACAGACATCAAATGTATAATAACAAATCCCATATCAACTGTAGATTTTTTGATGAGATAAAACAAATTGTGGTTCTTTATAAACTCTTAACATATTTATTATCAATTTCATAATCAGATATAAGCTCAAACCTTTCAATTTCCATTGTTGTTGGTATCAGAGTCTCGTGCCATTTCCATAACACTTTAGTAATCCATACAAGTTCCCTCCTTGTCTTAGTACAAATTACAGACATACATCAATAATATTTGTTCAGGTTATAACCCTATGTCATCAGTAAGCTGTTTTAGGTAATTTGAATTCAAGCAATCTGACAGGGAAAGTGTAATATTTTGCAAAAGCAAACAAAACCCCAAAACACAGAGCAACAAAATCAATATTTGTGTCATTGCCATTATCTATATAGTATAACATAAAGATATCCCTCACCCCTGCAAGCACTTTAGTTCTACCAGAGACCTATATAACAGCATGTTATTTGCTCTCTGATTCTACCATTCTTACAAACATAGTACACAAAGTTGATGGTTGTAATAAGCCCTTCACCTCAGACATCTAAACTTTTACAGTCTGTTGAGTCATGAGAGAATAAGACAAGAAAAGTCAAGCTGATGTAATATATACAAACAAAATTATGAGTATTAACATTTAAACTTCTAACTTTCTGCCTCACTTTAGATGGTTGAGAGGCAGGACACAAAGACACAGTTATAATATACATGCTACTTTCCTTCCTTATTGTTGGGGATATAGTAAAGTACTGATACCAGATTGCTGCACATGGTATGCCTTGCTAGACATGAGCTTTCAGACATTTTGACATGTGCATAAAATTGTTGGGGATATAGTAAAGTACTGATACCAGATTGTTGCACAGGGTATGCCTTGCTAGACATAAGCTTACAGACATTTTGACATGTGCATAAAATTGTTGGGGATATAGTAAAGTACTGATTGCTGCACAGGGTATGCCTTGCTAGACATGAGCTTACAGACATTTTGACATGTGCATAAAATTGTTGGGGATATAGTAAAGTACTGATACCAGATTGCTGCACAGGGTATGCCTTGCTAGACATGAGCTTACAGACATTTTGACATGTGCATAAAATTGTTGGGGATATAGTAAAGTACTTATTGCTGCACAGGGTATGCCTTGCTAGACATGAGCTTACAGACATTTTGACATGTGCATAAAATTGTTGGGGATGTAGTAAAGTACTGATACCAGATTGCTGCACAGGGTATGCCTTGCTAGACATGAGCTTACAGACATTTTGACATGTGCATAAAATTGTTGGGGATATAGTAAAGTACTGATTGCTGCACAGGGTATGCCTTGCTAGACATGAGCTTTCAGACATTTTGACATGTGCATAAAATTGTTGGGAATATAGTAAAGTACTGATTGCTGCACAGGGTATGCCTTGCTAGACATGAGCTTACAGACATTTTGACATGTGCATAAAATTGTTGGGGATATAGTAAAGTACTGATTGCTGCACAGGGTATGCCTTGCTAGACATGAGCTTACAGACATTTTGACATGTGCATAAAATTGTTGGGGATGTAGTAAAGTACTGATACCAGATTGCTGCACAGGGTATGCCTTGCTAGACATGAGCTTACAGACATTTTGACATGTGCATAAAATTGTTGGGAATATAGTAAAGTACTGATTGCTGCACAGGGTATGCCTTGCTAGACATGAGCTTACAGACATTTTGACATGTGCATAAAATTCTGGCTAAATGAATGGCAAGAAAAATAAATAACAATCTCTAATAAACATTGAATAACACTTCTTTTAACTTCATACATATACCTGGTCATACAATTATATAAATCCTGAAAAATAAAATACAATTCTGGAATAAAGCAATAATATTGCACCAAATAGAAATGGTATAACTTGAATAAATGGCGTGGTTAAAGTAACATATTGACGATATATATCTTGAGATCAACCTAGAATGTGTAGAGTGCATATATTAGTGATAGGTCCATTGATAATAATAGATCACGCCTATTTCATATCAGGAGTAATTGTAGAAGTGGAGATGACCATGACAAGGATATATACCAGGTTTACAACTTATTAATGCCTAAACTGGGATTACCTAAGGTAGAAAAATGTATACGTTATCTACATCTATGTTTCTAAAGAAACATGAACCGTACAGAACAATGAGGTTGTCATGGAAACAACATACTTGACCAGAGTCAAATAAATTAAACTAGGCTACTAAAGCCAACAAACAATATCCATAAAAAGCTATAAAATGAATTGAGAACGAGGCCTTTTTTAGCAACAATAATTCATCTAAGACACCTCCATTATTACAAGCATAAGAGCAATCTTAATATGTATGAACAATGACTACCAAAAGAAACTCTGTTTATAAACAGTCACAAATAAACATACATATAATACAACAATGGTGTTTGACAGTCTTAGATAATCATTGTACAGGAGTATCCTTAGGGTGAGGTATTGACAAAATACAGCACAATCAAATTTACATGTTTTTCATATTTCATGCCTCTAACTACAATATCATATACAAGAATACATTAATAACATAATATAATATCGTATTCCTACAAAAAGGCACCCTATTTTGCATTGCACTGCACTGCTTAGTCTACTTCACATAGAGAAATAGACTTTGAAATGTACATTATAAACACATCATTTGCATATTTATTCCGCTTACATTATACTATTTATATTCTGAAAATTTCACATTTTGAAGCAAAATCCCTCACTGATCGACTTGTAGAGATATAACATGAAGGACAAACCTGATCAGAGAAAAAATTTAAATGTTTATACACAATCATATCTTAAACAAATATAATAGTTTTGGTTGACTACTATTGTCATGGGGTATTTTTGTTTATTTTTGTTTAATTCTTTGAGTTTCCTTATACAGTCGTTGTGAGAGAGTAACTTCCCTTTGTTTTAATGCTTAATTAAAGATCATGGAGAACTAGAGTGCACACTTTTTTTATCACGGAAGAAAAGAAACTGTACAATGTTAAGTTATAATTAACAGATTTGTTATCTTTTTTAAGCAGTAAAGATCACATATCCTGTCTTGTAAGCTACAATGAATTAACAATTATCAAGAAATAACAATGCTTTAGAGAATGTGAGGTAAAATGCAATGCTGTAGGCTGTTAACTAAATAAATAGTATATACACCAGTATTTGTAGTGATTTACGTACAAAACAACATCCATAATCACGCAATGTCAGGAAGCATAATTATGTCAGTCTACGCAATAAATATGTTTATCATACATAAATGTAATCACAGCACCGCTTTGAAAAGCTCAGTTCTTCTTGGATTAAGGTTTATGGTCAACGACATACAGTAATAGGAATTCTCTTTTCATGGATATGGTAATAGTATGACAATCTAACCACATATATTGTAATAGTCTGTCAATGTTACCATGGATACTGTAATAGTCAGTCAACGTTACCATGGATACTGTAATAGTCTGTCATTGTTACCATGGATACTGCAACAGTCTATCAATGTTACCATGGATAGTGTAACAGTCTATCAATGTTACCATGGATACTGTAATAGTCAGTCAATGTTACAATGGATACTGTAATAGTCAGTCAACGTTACAATGGATACTGTAATAGTCAGTCAACGTTACCATGGATACTGTAATAGTCAGTCAACGTTACAATGGATACTGTAATAGTCTGTCATTGTTACCATGGATACTGCAACAGTCTATCAATGTTACCATGGATACTGTAACAGTCTATCAATGTTACCATGGATACTGTAATAGTCTGTCATTGTTACCATGGATACTGTAATAGTCAGTCAATGTTACCATGGATACTGTAACAGCTACCATGGAATACATGGTTCTGGACAATACTGTAGCCAGGCTTCAAAATGGCCGCTGTCTACCTGCATCAAAGCAGAATATGTGGTCAGCTGTAACAAAAAAAAATCACTCATTTAACAGTTATCATTCAGTCTAAGACCCGATGTTACACCAGACATATACAGTCCCACTACAAAAAAGTAAAGCATTTACGCCATAACACAAACAATTCCACTACACAAGTGTAAAGCATTGAACTCCAAACACATAGTGCTACTAAACAAGTGTAAACAGTTTAAACCATAACACACCCTATTCTTTATTTATATACACTATATACAATCTCACTCAAAATGCGTAAACCATTTACACCATAACACATATCATAATGAAGTCATATATTTGCATAATGAATTATGAAACTAAAAACTTTTTATTTGCATCATTTAAGTAAGGTTGGTACAGATAAATTTTTTTCAAACATTTTGTTGAATTTTTGCCTCAAATATGATGTTATTTTAAGTAATATTATTTTGAATATTTTACAAGTAATATATCACAGTTCTGTAAACAATGCATTAAAATCTGTATTTAAGGTGTAAAAACGACATCTCATTTCTGAAAATTGTTTCCCACACTGAGATCTATGTTACCTAAGAAAGATTCACATAGATTTTCAAATGATAACATAAGATCAATAAAATCTTATTTAAATTAATACAGACATTACAAAGTGTGTAGAGAATATACCTTATTAAGTACAGGTCTGGACGATAAAACGTTGTACAGTCCTTTGATAGATACACCCTGGAAAAATAAAAAGCATATGCTTATCAGCATCAAAATATTTATCACCTTTTCTTGGCTTAAAACCAAAGTCCTTGAAGGCCTGTATATATAACATGATGAATATGTTATGACAATCATCCAAAACTTGATTTTAAGCCCTACTGCGTTTTGTTGCAATGCCCAACACTTAAAGCATTTTAATAACTAGACATGATAAAACACAAATATTTTGTTTAAGATACATATACCATGAAATATGAAATAATGATATCAAAAAATATAATACTGACAGTTTCGTCTCTAAACATACACCACAAAATTTAACCCAGTTGAAATGAAATGCAGCTATAGTACCTAAAATGTAACCTTTTTTTTGTAATAATAATGAAACAATATATTATGAAGGCATGTCAACCCAAGTTGCAGAAATTTGAAATATTTGGTATCCAGAGAATGGCTACATAAACAGACAAGTAACCTCACACGTACAATTCTGGCAGTCTGGCTGTGAAAGGAGAGTGAGTTACCTCCCCTGTGTCACAGGACCACCTACCAGCTCAGTTAGTTATCTGTCACATACCATTGTTCTACACTTCACTTGTTTATTATTAAGAAATGGAAGCTGTAATCACATTCAACGCAAAATACGATGACTCTGAATGCGCTTCAAGGCAATCAACTTACACATACAAGCCTGATGGCCCCAACCATACTAGCTATCTCTCTAATGAAAATGTATAACTACCTTTACTTTTATGGAAACAGAAGTTTCAATATTTGAATGTGTACAATTATGATGAGGTTACAATCAACTGTGAATTCAATTATATTTACCAAGGGAATCATTTAAATTTTGAAATTCTAAAAAAATACGATTTAAAACAAGGTGAACAAGCTTTAAGGCCAAACAGGAGTTTGGACCTATGTTTTGCCTAAATTAATTTAGTTTAGAGAAACAAAGTCCACACTAGATGAATACAGGGTACTGTATCATGGTATTACCCATCATTAGTGTGATACAATCTAATAAGCCACAAGTTTATCATTTCCATAAGTTATTTATACATCTTGGACAATACTGAGCAAAAAAGCAAAAGCTTAAATAGTATCTATATGCACTTAGATCATAGCAAAGAGAAGAAATTACTATCAGAGATAAATACATAACAATTACTATCATTATCTGATCAATATCATATAGTATCTATATGCACTTAGATCATAGCAAAGAGAAGAAATTACTATCAGAGATAAATACATAACAATTACTATCATTATCTGATCAATATCATATAGTATCTATATGCACTTAGATCATAGCAAAGAGAAGAAATTACTATCAGAGGTAAATACATAACAATTACTATCATTATCTGATCAATATCATATAGTATCTATATATTTACTTAGATCATAGCAAAGAGAAGAAATTACTATCAGAGGTAAATACATAACAATTACTATCATTATCTGATCAATATCATATAGTATCTATATATTTACTTAGATCATAGCAAAGAGAAGAAATTACTATCAGAGGTAAATACATAACAATTACTATCATTATCTGATCACTACTTTTGCTTAAACTGCCATGACAAATTCTTGATTTTATTCTCTGAATTAATTACCGACAAAAGCAAACATTCCATTTATATATTTACACACACGTAAAGATACATAAAGATATATAGTTAAATCCATTGCTCATTTTTTAAGTAAACTTTTAACATTAGTCTAATTAATACGAAGAAAAAGAGATCCAACGTCCAAAAGGTAAGGCTGGTAAGTCCGGTATCACTCCACAGCGGATTCCCTGAGTCTGGTCCTGCTTACCGATTTATTAGTCTAATTAACTAAGCTTGTATTCACAAAATAAATCCTTCAGTAATTTTATTGTGTATCTTACCTGTTGTGTCATATTGCCCATACAGTGGTGAGCAGGCGTGCGCCTATCGTCAAGAAACAATGGTGCCTCCCAATGGTCATAGTTGGTCTCGAGGATGTACCAGCCATTAGCACTCTCCATATCCCACACATCAACTGGATATTCTCTGGCTCGTGTGATTACACAACCCTATAGTGTAATGATACATATATTTATATTCTGAAGTTTGAAATAACTAATATTCTCATAACTAACTGTTTCCTTGATACAATGTCCTCTCAATCTTATCTAAGAATAATTCACTCTCAGGAAATCTACAATACATGGACAATATTGACATTGTTGATTAAAGCGACTGTTTCATCAGGGATATATGACTGGTTCTGGGCCAAATAGTAAGTACCTCTCGTACCTGGACATAAATATACAATGCATGTCAGTCTGTCTATGTTCAAATTTACTTTTATGCGCTATGATACTATGTCTGTATAGAACATGTCCTACACTAACTGTTAAGTTCTATAACCATTGTCATTATGTCATAAGACAATATAATGAGACCTGTTGAAACGGTCCTGATGTTGCATTCCCTCCAAGTATGAAGTAGGCTGGGGCAAGCATCTCTGTATTTTGCAACATTACTTTGGCTTCTAAATAGCTGGACGCTTTCTCCATCACATTTCTAGTAAGGAAACCCATCCACTGACCAGTACGTTGTCCAGCAATCCACTCCAACAGTCCTGTCCAGAAATAACACTTCATTAAGTGTCTGATAGACAAAGGGTCCCATGCATCCACAGTTACTCAATAGTAGATAGTAAGTAAATTATTAGTAAAATGCCTCTTTTCATTTCTTTTTCTTTAGTAAAGAGTTTGTCCAGATTCATGACATTGAAAAGTCCTGCAGAAATACCTATGATTATTAGTATGTTGAAACATATTAAATAAGCATGATTCCCCATCCCCATCCCCTACCAGCTTGAAAGAAAAATATATCAAGGACCCAAAAGCAGAAAAACATATGCCAAATTAATATTCATGACTTAAAAAATTAATACAAATATGAAAATGGTAATACAATAACATATTGAGTTAAAATACCATGAGAATGCAGGAAAAACACAGCAGTAACTCTGTAAAATGTTGTTCATGAAAATACAACCTCAGATTATGGTTCTAAAGCCTAAGATATTTCAAAGAAATTAATTATAACAATGGGGGAGGAGATATCCAGACGAGAATGAAATAATGGAAAAATAATGGGCAATAACTCTTCAAAAAACTGTAAAATTACATTGCCATTAAAGAAAACATAATCTCATTAAATCCCACCAAGATTCAGAAAAATCTGTTCAAAACTGAGGAAGGTGATCTATATACAAAACTGAAATGCTGAAATAACAAGGGGCAATAACTCTTTCAAAAGTTTTAAAATCAAAATAGATGGAAAACTGACAGAGGTCATGATTAACAATTTGAAAATAACAAGGGCAGTAACTCTTCCAAATACTATCAAATTAAACTCCTGTCGAAGAAAGCACAACTTCATGTCCTGGTGATTATATACTAACCAAGTTTGATAGCAATTGGTTGAAAACTGTTGGAGACCATCTCCAAACAAGTGAAAGTTTCTGTATATACCACAGGTCACTACATACTGTGGACATTATTTTGAAAAGTTAATATGCAATGGGAGTGATTTAAACTATATGTGTATCTTGTTATGGATAAGTAGATCATGAAATTACCAATGTAGCCTCCATCTTTGTTGAATCTTTCATTCATGGTCAATGTAAACAATTTCTGTAACAAAAAAAAGATAACATTAAATCAATGTCTAACTCCATCACAATTTTTTTATTCACATTTATAACATTTTTGCCAGTGAAATATAGAGAAATATCTCAATCACTAGTGAAAATAACATTTTTATGTTAATTTTCTAACATTATTGCACTTACACCTATGACAAGAGCGAACACAAATCCTCTGAAAAAATTGACAAATAATAAGTCCGGGTATAAAAAACACAAAACAAGACATGTGATGGGTTTTGAACTTGTGACCCAACCTTAAATTACATGGTAAATGTTCATTATTTCCATGAAAGTCCATGACGTAATGCAAATTACCTTATCAGACATAAAATCCAACCCCTAACCAAATGTCTTGAATATAGAGCCAACGCATTAGACATTTCAAGGGGATTTGTGTCATCACCAGCGACAACTCTAGATTGCTGCCATATTCTCAGCCACATACAGTACTTTGTCAAAAGTTAAACTCTCTTTGAACGTCTTAGTGACATGAAGCAACATTTTCTATGTGAATATGAAAATAAATTTATAATGAATGTTATTGTTGTGTTAAAATATTTTTAATGATTTTTCTAAAAAAAACAAATCATATTTTGTTGCGTACTGCAAAGTTATAATGAATGAGTAGAGTCTGTGAAATGACTAGTCATCTTCCTTGTTTTATATTTTTTCAAATGCTACTAATTTGACCATTTGGCTTGTGAAAATGTAATAAATAGATTATCTCATCATATCTTCAATAACAATAAATATATTTCACTTGTGCCTAACATTTTTGTATTTTTCACTCATGCTACACACTCATTATTACAAAAGAAAACTATTAGATATTCTCTATTTATTTCATTGAAGTTCATATTGTATATAAATGCCTCTGGATAGAGACATGTATCAAGAAACCAGAAACTTGATCATGTGATTGCTTTTATCATTCAATGAATACACCCTTGACATATTTTTCTTATTACATGTGTGTAATAAATCCCATAGTAACATTCAGTTTAGATAATAAAAAATGAAATGACATCACAAGATTACAGAACACAGTGTGATGTAACAAAGGAGTCCATTTTAAGTTAGACTTAGAAATGTCTATTTTCTACAAAATTTTTCTGAATAATTGATCATGTGATAAAAAAGGATCTTAGATTTGTTTCCATTTGATTTATGAAACTCATCACAAGTTTATCATTTTACCTCGTCCTAGGTTCCCTTCAATTAAAAATTTGTGTCTCCTAAATATCATAGTAATCAGCAACCCACAAAAGATCCTGATAAAAAGATATACATCCCTATATAGACTTAACTGTATATTGAATCCCACTTATACATGCTGCTGTTTTTTAAAATTCCAACACCACTGCAACTTTTCCAGGATAATAATTTTACTGACTGTATGTTAGGTTTCCATACTTACAGGTTTTATAGCTGTTAGGATCCCAACATATCCTGCAAAGTTGATAGATTTGAAGACAGTTTCTCCTCCTTTCTGGAAATCAACCATAATCACCATCGGTCTCAACAGCTCTGTGACTGACCAGGTGTTGTTTTTAATGTCCCAACTACAAAAATACAGCTGAATTTTTAGATTTTTTCAGTAACAACTTCAGACTAAAGAACTAGAACACTGACAGGTTAGCAAGGGATCATGGGCCCCACTATGTTGCAGGAAATCCCTTCCCTCCCCAACTCCCACCCACCATCCCACCCAAAGACACACATACCCCAGACTGACAGATTACTGGCAAAACCTTAAGTAAATTCTGCCACAAAGTCAAGAAAGACTGAAAAAAACCATACTGACAAATACATTCCACAATCAAACTTTTTTATTTATAATAACAGTGACCTTGACCTCAGATGTTACAATATAAAAAGCAATATCCCAAGCAAGCACTTAAGGAAAGGATTTTGGTGAGTTAGATTTAGATTGGGCAAAGCAAACTCAAGTTATTTCACAAAATGGATTTTCCATCATAGCAACAATAAAAATCTAAACATTTGACTTCTGGGTCTGAAAAGTAATTCCTCGCAATCACTTTCAGTAAGAAAGTATTGTAGGAAGTTTGAATTTGACTGACCCAAGTTATGTCATGGAAATCAATTTTCTACTTAGAGTAACAATAATCTGGACCACTGACCCTGGGTCATGAAAAGAAATCAAAAGCAAGCCATTTTTTTAATGAAGCATTGTATGAGGTTTCAGTTTGATTGGGCAAAGCAAACTTGAGTTATTGCAGGGAAACTGATTTTTCTATTTATAATAACAGTGACCTTGAACTTTGAACTTCAAAATTGTAAAACTCAAGCTTTCACATGGAAACTGATTTTCTATTATAACAACAGTGGCCTTGACCTTTAATCTTGAAAGATGAAAAGCTATATATCCCAAGCAAGCACTTTCTTCAAGGAGGCATGGCATAAAGTATTAGTGCCATTGGCCAAACAGAATTTGAGATACTGAACAGAAAAGAAAAAAACGGAGAGACGGACAGACGGACAGGTAGACAGGTGGACAATCTGATTACTGAAAGGCACCCACATCTTAATGCAGTGCCCTAACAAGATCACAGTTGACCTTAGTGACCTTAACACAATATGAGATGGAGAGTAAAGGTTTAGAGGAATATGTCTGCTGCTGCATATGACAGGAGATCTAACAGATGGAAAAGACTAATGTTGCATGGCTACTTGGAGTAGAAAATGACGATAATCAATTCTTGTTCCATAGCTACAAGAAATAGGATCAATATCCCATGGCTAGTATTTTAAAGTACCAGATGATAGTAGGAATCGGCAAAATTTGCAATGTCTTTGCACCCACCAATCCTTCATGTAATGATGCACCAATTGGAAAAGGCATAAACAGACCAACACAAACACAAACATTTCTGTTCAGGTTACATTATTTATAAAATTCCAAATATCAGGAAATTAGCTATGGTAGAATATTAAGGTCTTAGACATACCCTAGAGTAATCACATACATGTATATATCCGTATCTAAAATTTAGATAACACACTTACCCGAGAAATAGGCCAAAGTCTAGGTTTCTTACATGGTAAAGTTTACCTACAAAGTAAATATCAATATTGTTAGCGACTATGTAGGGTTCTTTAATTATATGTTCAACCAAGAACTAAATACAAGACAAATCTAGTAAAATGTCTTAATTCCTTTTCTCTGAGTAATCATTATGATCAAACTACATGACATTTTCAATCACTAATTTTTCTGCAATAAACCCAGAAAGCCGACACGTTACTTCTTACTCAATGTCACAGAGTATGGTTTATCTATAAAGTACAAATACAAATTATTGGTTTATAACTTTAGTTAACAGAATCACGATAATCGTGGGTGAACATGTAACCAGGAATAGGCAGATAGCCAGATCAGTGTAGTAGTAAATCTAATGAAGTATGTAAACTATAGCCAAGGGAGACAACTTACCAGTCGGATCCTGAGCCACGATCGAGGTGCAGACAGTGAAAAACTCATAGAAGACATTGAAGAAAACAATTTCTCCTACAAATAGAGTTTGTTTAATATTATTTAATATTATAGTAATCATGGTTTAAGATTTGACCCACTGAATATCTTAAAACTAAGAGAACCAAACTGATTTTCTACAGACCACTAGATCATACAATCCTAAAATCTGTTACAGTTTTGGCTTCAAATTGACAACAAATGAACTAAAAGTGGCATAATAGTTACAAATCTGAAGACTCAGTATTATTCTAACCTGAAGACACAGTATTATTCTAACCTGAAGACACAGTATTATTCTAACCTGAAGACACAGTATTATTCTAACCTGAAGACTCAGTATTATTCTAACCTGAAGACCTGAAGACTCAGTATTATTCTAACCTGAAGACACAGTATTATTCTAACCTGAAGACAGTATTATTCTAACCTGAAGACTCAGTATTATTCTAACCTGAAGACTCAGTATTATTCTAACCTGAAGACACAGTATTATTCTAACCTGAAGACACAGTATTATTCTAACCTGAAGACACAGTATTATTCTAACCTGAAGACACAGTATTATTCTAACCTGAAGACAGTATTATTCTAATCTGAAGACACAGTATTATTCTAACCTGAAGACAGTATTATTCTAACCTGAAGACACAGTATTATTCTAACCTGAAGACACAGTATTATTCTAATCTGAAGACACAGTATTATTCTAACCTGAAGACACAGTATTAATCTAACCTGAAGACACAGTATTAATCTAACCTGAAGACACAGTATTAATCTAACCTGAAGACACAGTATTAATCTAACCTGAAGACACAGTATTATTCTAACCTGAAGACACAGTATTATTCTAATCTGAAGACACAGTATTATTCTAACCTGAAGACTCAGTATTATTCTAACCTGAAGACACAGTATTATTCTAACCTGAAGACAGTATTATTCTAACCTGAAGACTCAGTATTACACCTGAAGACAGTATTAATTCTAACCTGAAGACACAATATTAACCTGAAGACACAGTATTATTCTAACCTGTATTATTCTAACCTGAAGACTCAGTATTATTATTTACCACAATTAGCATGAAGAATATAAACAATGTAAAACAGTAGAATAAAAAATGACAAGGTACAGAAACTTACCTAATTTCAGACCTGTAACATTTGCAATCCCTCTCATTTCATCAGCAAAAGGCTGTGGCAATGTCTCATCCACGAGAGGCTGGGAATTATTATTTAAATGTCCCATTAAGATAAATTTTAAACAAAAACTGACATGGATACAGCCTAATACAGAAGGAAAACTGAAGAAATTTATCTCTTAATAAACAACAGGTACCAGAAATATAATTTCTAGATGTATCACAACACACCAAAATGACTGTTCTATGATACGTGGATGAATCATTAAAATTCTGTTGTGAATATGATTCAGGTCTGTCCTGAAGATGAATAAATGTCTTTCACATCTCAAAAGGTCAGTTTGAAAGACAAATGAGATTGTGTTTCTTTTAAGACTGTTGTTTCAAATACAAGAGCGTTTTTCCAATATTATTTTCAAACCTAAGTTAAGTAAATGAAATAACACATCCTCTCTTTTTTATCTCAAAAAGTCACAGAAAACAATCCAAAATAAGAGAGTTGGTTCAATTTCAAGAGAAGATATATTCGATCAATTAAATAAACCAAAAGAAAACCAGCAAATTGTTTCATATTAAATAAAGGTAATTTCTAAAAGGAAAATTGGTAGTCACCCCTGCTTTGTCGATGAAGTCAACAATAGCTTGGGATCCGTGGAATATGTCAGTAATGAAAGACTTAAACTCATTCAGCAAATTCTTGATCTGTAAAATATAGGATATTCTTTGTTATTTAGATAATTAGTGCATACACAAAAAATATATATATTTGATAATGAGTATATATACAATTTCTGAAACAACATGTCATAAACAGCAAATTACAATTGCAACATATTATATGGTATGTCCATCAACTTTTACAAACTTAATATTCAAACAGTTCTAAATAATTTTTCCTTCATTTTAACATGTAATCCTACAACAAAACTGAGATTTAATCACTCATTATATATGTATATTGAAACATATGTTATATTTCGTAATGGTAAATTAAATTATTTAAATGTCAGCCTGGACGGTAGCTTTCTATAAACAGATTTTATCAAAAAGTGTCAAAAATTAAATTTACCTGTGGTCCTTTGTCCTTGACAACATGTGTCCATCTTTGGGCAGCTGGAAGGTCAAGGTTCACCACATAAGTTGGCACTTTATGGCTGCAGATCACATCGGTAATGCATAAAACCAACAGACGTCAGAGCATAATATTTCATACACATACAAATGAATTCAACATATAAAATATATTTTTGGGATATTTCTTACAATTTAAAATATATTTTTCTCCTTAAAAGTAGAGATAATGTTGGAAAATCACAAGGGTATGTTATAAATATAAATGTATCATTTATGTATATACACAATATATAATGTACATCTCTTAAACATTGTAACTAATATTTAGAAATATCTCAATAATCTTCACATATAACAAAACTACATCTCTAATTTTAAAATCTTTGGTTCAAAATGGGCAAAGCAAACATGATAAAGAATCCTTCTTATGGAGAATAATTTCTTTTCTATACATTGCTTACCTAGCTGGTGGTGGATAAGCATTGTTGACACATTCTTCCATAAACTGAAACAAAAAAGTACAATATACCATGCTGAGTATAAAGAGCAGTAGACACAACATTTCATGTACACTGTACATGTAAACAGTAGATACAACATATCACAGTACATTGTACTTGTAAATAGTGGATACAACTTGTCACTCTACACTGCTGGACACTAAATCTTTCTGAAATCTTAGCCTGGACTCTTAACATTACAACCAGTGGGATTTCTGTTTCCATCAATTCAATATAATAGGAAACACATTTCTTCCCAAAATCTCAAACTATGGTAGTTTAAATGTATGTACTGTCGAGTGAGTACCACAGACCATCTTACATAAGTACAATGTATGTACAAGAAAGATGTTGGCCTGTTCCATATTTAATATGGATAATAGAAGGAATGTAAATATGTATATATATATATACAAAGTACATACGTGAGTACATACATAGGCTTTTCTGTTGCTTGTTTTTGTTTTTATATATTTTGGTCATATTTTTTACACTTGTAGCTTCAGCTGTGTGAAGGCATAACAAATATATCATTGGTTGATAAATCATTCTTTGGAGTGGAATAAGTATGAGATACTGCAGGATGTTATGGGAGTATCCGGAACGCAAACAAGCTCTCCAAGCAGGTCGTCTGATGAACCTTTGCCTCGGTCGTGATTTACATCCTTGTGGGACAGAAAAAAAAGAAAATGAACATAACTTTGCAGCATGAAGCTTGTTGGATGTTTTAATATCTTACCGGAGGAACCTGACAATTTGTCAGGCTAATAACAGTGACAAGACACAGCAACAGACGTAGCATCTTGGTCTCGTGACTAAGCCAAAACAATCAACATGTGACTTATTATCAGAAGCTTTTAAACGCTTTATTTTCAACAGAACAGTTTCAAGCGTCTATTTCACCTAGATACTGAGAAGTTTCACAGTGTAAGCGAAGTATCCTAAGCAGCAGCTGGAAAGATGGCAGAAGCAAAGGTAAACCAATTAGAAGCATGTTTATGTCTGGACGTCTGTTGACTGATCTGATTTTTTGTACGAAGTACGCTCTAACGACTGCTTTCATCTTAATTCTTCAATCTGTTTGCGTATTTGTCCTTAAAATTGACACATTTCTCTTACTTTCACTTTAACAGGTTTTGAATGGAAACGTGGCACAACCAATTAAGACATTTTGAATACTGTTAATGTTAAGCCATAGTAATACCTGGGACGTATAGTATCTGTACAACAGTCTTTGATCACACCATATACGTTATAAGTGTACGTAGAACATAACGTATAATATATCATTGGTTATAGTTTGGTTAAATCCGATAATGGATTCCAGAATTCAAGTATTTTGAGAGAAGATTTTAAATCGCAAATAAACCCAGTCATCTGTCAAAATGTCAGTGGATATTGTACATTATCTTTTTTTGTAATTCTTCTATAATATCCATATATATCAACAGATGTAAATTGTGGTACGGTGAATGAACATGTATTTGGATAACTGTCCATTATTATCATACAAATCAGGGATTTATGTTTGGAAAATATCTTTAATATAAAATAAGGATTTTCTGCTTTTTTTGTTGTGTGTGAATTTTCAAAAGTTATTGGATATGTGCAATAAATCCCACAAGTGTTGAACTTTGTACTGCTGGTACTTGCTGGAGATACCACAGTGTTTTGTTTTCTGGGGAAAAAAGAATGTATGTATAGACTGTATATGTGTCCTTTGTAGTTGCTATGACTTTGATTGCATGTTGGTGTGCTTATCTTATTCTTGATTTGATGAGTGTGACTAGGTAGGCTATTGCTATAAACAAATATTGTTGTACAGTTTTTTTAGAAAAAAACATGTGACAAAAACTCTTGTTCTGGGTGTTTGCCATCAGAATATGTGTAGCTTTTCTGTGACTGGGCTAGTATTGTGTCATGTAAATGTGATTTCTGTTCTGAATGTATGGTGGGATTTTTCCTTTTGTGTTTGACTTGTGGCATTTTAAGGTCCCATATGGAAATGAAGTATTCCAATTTGATAGAAATAATGCTTTTTTTGCGTGTTCTATAATGTGAGTTGAATTTATTTCTTTTAATTTTTATCACAACTGAACATCAGTTACCTTTTATTGGAGAGCTATGCAACTAACATAATCTGCCTTAAAATTGCTTTAATGGCCTGCATATTGAAAATCCTAGAAACAGATGGTGAACGTGACAATGGATTATTTGATACTTTACAATAAATCCATTATTTTCATATGGTTGAGTTTCTTATCCAGAATAGGCTTTTTTTTATAAAAGTTATATTTGTGATAATGGTTTTACGCAGTATGATATAGACATACACTAGTGTTTGTTTTCTTCTGTCGATATCTGGTCTGATACACTTGACCAACATAAATTGATACCAACTGCATTTATCAGTTGAAAATTACATATGCACAGTCAGTACAATGTGCAATGTTTTATTTATTTTACAAAAAATTATCACAGATTGTATCACATAATGAATTCAGTTTGTGAAGAAAATAAAAACTCACAAGTTTTCATAAATAACATCTGGATATTTAAAGGGACTAGATGGTTAGAATTTCAATTGATAATTGATTAAAAAGATTATAACATTCAAATATATGTTAAAAGTTGTGCACTTTCTGTTAATTAAATTTTTTTTTAAAATTTGCATTAACATTTTATTAAAGATGTTACAAAATTAAGATTTAATAGGAATGACCCAACACTAGTTCGTATCATTATTTTAGGAATCATAACAAAATGGCAGGGTAGAAAGAGGTTCTGAAAGGTCACATGGTGAACTTAGCCATCTCTGATCAAAACAGCATATTGGCAGTAGACACAACAGCAGGTGGCGACCAGTATTAATTTGAAGCTGATAATCTTTATGAATTAAACTCAGAAAGTGTTATAATCTTTTGAATAGTCTAATTTTAAGTATTACAGTGCTTGCCCAAATAAAACCATATAGTCCCATTAATAGCCAGATTGTTTGATTAAATTCTATATAATTTCATATGTTTTTCTCAAAATAAAATATGCGATTGCATGACTGTAACATTTTTGATATCACATTCTTTATCATACCTTGACCTAATATCTGCCTCTTGATAATGCATAGAATCTAAAGACTTTAGACTCATTTAGTTCAAGGAACACAGATGTAGGACACCATGCTGTCTGTATACAGGTAGTACAACAGTGTGTTTCCATGGTATACAGTCACACACCTGGAGTAGGTCCTTAAGAGATGGGCATGACTTTCTGAGACATGACAACAAGGGGGCTTGTCATTGAATGATTTAATTATCTTAGATTGTCCTACACTAAGATTCAAACTACCAATTTTGTTTTTAAAATTGTGTCCTTTAAGATAGTTATACATAACATTTTAAATTTGTGTTTGCCTTAAACTTGTTTAAAGCTCTGTTTAAATCCAAATCTCTTCCCAGTATTAAAATTGACCTTGACAAAAAGAAAGACACAGAACAATATTATCTATACAATGTGACATATAGCATCCTTTTTAAAGATTTTATTTGTCTTACCTAGCAAGCTGCTTCCTTGTCCAGTAAAAATCTAAGATTATTGTTAAGATTTGATCTGTGATTAATTATTTTTTATAACATGAAGGATTCCTGATTTTACAATTTCTTCATCAATTTTTAGAAATTAGGTTGAAAACACATGCACTTTCATTATAAGTATTCTAATGCAGATTCAGCTGTATTCTACTGTGTTGCTGTAACTGAAATATTAGATTCATAGATATATTATATAGATATATTATATAGATATATTATAACAGTATAGTGATTTTTTATTAGTATTGGGGAAAACGTAACTGATTGGTTCATCATTTCTAAGAAAATAAGTCTTTCCTCTAGTGAAAAACATTATGAAACCATTACACAAAGAAAGGACATAAGTGTCAAAGCCGAACACTTGATACGCAAAAAAACTGAAAGTACAACATAACTAACCAGTAGATCAGTCTAACTGGCCATGGGTAACATATAATATACTGTATTTAGCAAGCTCAGAAATAGAATTAAAATTCTTTAAACACACACTAGAAAGATTACCTGTACCTGTCCTTATTAAGGCTTTCTTAGGACTAATTAGTAACACTAAATTGTTTCATGGATCTTACGAGTTTATTGTAAATTACAAACATGTATAGCAAAGACATTTGAATGTCGTGGAAAAGAACGTATTATTGTAAATGAAAGTCTGTTGTTAATGAAAGATGTTTTTGACAGCAGTTTTAAAATCAATCATACATGTACCTACCTTTCATTTAAAATTGTGCTACTCTGGAGATTGGGTGGTTAAGGCTGATATGGAAGTTAGTAGTAAATGGTAAACCTTTAGGGTTACTTATGACTCAGGATTTTGTATTTCTACTTTTCAGGTACACACTTTCCATATGGAAATGACCTGTGAAGGCTGTTCTAATGCAGCTAAAAGGGTGTTAAAAAAAGAAAAGTTCAGTAAGTACCAGAGAAAATAAGATTATTTTAACAAACACTGGACTAAACTGTCCTAGTTTTTATGCTTGTATTTTTGTCTGTTTTGTTTGGTGAATTGATTGCCTCATCAAGAGCCAAGGTCACCTTTAGATGGGAGGCCCTCCCTGTAGTACAATAGCTACCTTACTGAACAACATGCAGGAGGTCCATCGCATGCCAGAGAACTTTAGGTACAGTGTTTTACCTTAGGACACAACCTGGCCCCAGTTGCATGGTAGAGTATAACCAGAGATTGATTTTGAAAAACCAGTCTAGCAAATTGGGATCATTCTTTATCATTTTAACACATTAGATGTGTTGAAGCAGGTGAGATTGATATAATTTGAATTTGACGTTTTTTGCTTTTTTGAAAGTCCTCGATTATAAGTAGGGACATTTTGAATTTTTCAGTTAACCATTGGTTAGCCAACTGTTGAACGACAGGGGCCAGAAAATTACATACATTGACTGATAAAGTTTAGCTTTGGTATTTTATCATAGATCTAGTTGTTCCCTAGGTTATTTACATATTATTTAACTTGTTCATTTGTTTATCCTTATGTGCAATTTTCAATGCTAATTTGTATACTGAAAAAAAGGTTTCATACCATTGTGTTTACAGAAATGTTGATTTTTTAATTTTTTTTAATTCCCCTTTGATTCATATTCAATTACCATTTTGCTATAGTTTTTATGATAAAATTTTGGTAGAGTATCATGTCTTAACAATTGTCCCTATATATATACCCGAGTACAAAAAGCTTATTTTAAAGGATGAACACCAAATGTCTTCCCAATAGGGCTTACAGATATCTGTACTATAAAACTCCCAATGTATCTCCTCAGACATCTCAGATATCTATACTATAAAACTCCCAATGTGTCTCCTCAGACATCTCAGATATCTATACTATAAAACTCCCAATGTGTCTCCTCAGACATCTCAGATATCTATACTATAAAACTCCCAATGTGTCTCCTCAGACATCTCAGATATCTGTTCTATTAAACTCCCAATGTGTCTCCTCAGACATCTCAAATATCTGTACTATCTCAAATATCTGTACTATAAAACTCCCAATGTATCTCCTCAAACACACCTATCTGACATTGATTCTGCTGTTTGTTTCAAGCTAAGACAACCCTGACTGATTCATCACCTTCAAAGAAATCTGTTGGACTTTTTCCTTTTTTTCAAGAAAAATTAAATTTTAGATGTGTTTAATGGTTGTAGTTATCTTATTAAAAAAAATGGAAATGTGTAACATCGGGGCTGACCATTGACACA